ATAATAAAAGGGTAATATGCAAATAGACCGAACTGCAGAACAACCGAACAACCAATCAAAGCGTAATATGCTAATGATATGCTAAGGCTGCTCAACTGCTCGCTGACATGCACTGACCACCAGGGGGCAGATGCTCTGACTGGTTGGTTAGCTTGCTGCTGGGGTCCAGCCAATCAGAACTGAGAGCTTGCTGCTGGGGTCCAGCCAATCAGAACTGAGTGAGATGGGCTGGACACACCCTGGAGCCCTCCTGCAGTCCCTCCCCAGCCCGATCTCGTGCAACAGTGGAGTCCCTCAGCCTGGCCTGTGCCCTCTCGCAATCCAGGACCCCTCGGGGGATTTCGGAGAGCCGGTTTCAGCCTGATCCCACAGGCCACTCCCCTTGGGAGGGCACCAGACCCAGGGCTCATGGCTGGCGAGTGCTGCTGCAGCAGTGCAAGCCTCTCCCGATCAGGACTGATTGGGCTCGAGCCCATCGCAGGCACAGTGAGGCCGGGATGAGCAAGGGGCAGCAGGTAGGAGCTGCAGGCAGCATTGGACTGAGGGTTTCGGCCCAATCCCTGCAGGCCACCCAGAGGGACCCCACCTGTGCACGAATTTGTACACCGGGCCTCTAGTCCTATATAATAAAAGGGTAACATGCAAATTGACCCTAACAGCAGAACAACCACTGGACCAGTCACTATGAGGCGCACTGACCACCTCTTGGTCCCTTTCCCTGGCTGGCAGGCTCTGATTGCCTGATGGCCACCTGGTGCGGGGGGGGGGGGGGCAAGCGGGAGGGAACAGCCGATCTCTCAGTCCCTTCCCCCGGCCATCAGGCACTGATCACCTGATGGTGAACGGGGAACCGGGGATGGATGGCGGCAGCGGGCAGGGCCGGCTGCAGGTAGCTGGAGAAGATGGCCCTGATCACAGGCCAGGCCTAGGGACCATACCCGCGCATGAATTTTGTGCTCCAGGCCTCTAGTCTATCTATATATATAAAGGCTAAGCGACCATCTGACTGTCTCGTAGGTATGACATGCACTGGCCACCAGGGGGCAGATGCTCGATGCAGGAACTGCCAAGCGACAGCAACTTTGCAGAGTGCCATCTCGCACTCTGGGACCCCTCAAGGGATGTCAGAGAGCTGGTTTCGGCCCAATCCCCCCAGGCCAGGCCGAGGGACCCCACCTGCCAGAGGGACCCCGTTCACTCCACAGATGCCCTTTGAGCCAAGGCCGGCTTGGGGAGGGACCAGAGGACGTTGGCTCCAGGGTATATCCGGCCCGTCTCACCCAGTCCAGCCCCGCTGGCCATCTTCTAATTTATTTCCTTTCAATGTGCACGAATCCGTGCACCAGGCCACTAGCAAATAAATCAGTAAGTAAATAAATAAATAATGGTTAGAGTTGGAGTGCTGACTGTGCCGCTGCCGTGTGCTTTACAGAGACGCACTAAGGTAGCTGTAATGATCATCCCTATTTGACAGACCAGGAAACTGCAGCACAAAGAGCTTGAGTCACACAGCCAGAAAGGGGCTTTGAACTCAAAGTCTGATCCCAGCACCCCGGGCTGGAGCGGCCACGCCTCTGTCCCTCAGCTGCCCGCACCCCGAGTCTCAGGACTTTGCACAGGCCTTCATCCACTCCTCCCTCCCTCGTTTCCTGAGCTGCTGATCTTTGCCATCCCCTGGCTGGGTACCCGGGACACAGAGAAGACTGGGGCACGGATTCACTCTCAAGAAGGCAGGATGCTTTCACCAGGAGCCACGTGCCCAAAAGCATCAGGCACAGGCAGGAAACCTGAGGAACGAAGCAGCCCGGATGATAGGTAATAGGGAATGGCAAGGATTATGGCAATGCCGGAGAGCTTGTTTTAGCTGAAGGGGAAGGTAAGGGTATGACTGCTAAGCTAGATCTAGGATTTGTATTTTTTTATTTTTTACTTTTTGCCATGGGGACTGTGTTCAAGACAGAAGCCCAAAGAAATGCTAGAGGTTCATGTGCCCCCACCTACACTCCAAACATACACTACACAAAATATAAGAAGTCGTGCTTTCTTTTTTAAAGATAGTTGAGCTCTGCCTGGACGGTGTGGCTGAGTGGACCTATGAACCTGGAAGTTGAGGTTCAATTCCCCATCAGGGCACATGCCTGGGTTGCGGGCTCCATCCCCAGTGGAGGGCGTGCAGGAGACAACCGATCAATGATTCTCTCTCATCGTTGATATTTCTATCCCTCTCTCCCTCTCCCTCCCTCTGCAAAATCAACAAAGATATATTTTTACTTATTTTTTTAATTTTTGCATTTTTTAAAAGAATATATTTTTATTGATTTCAGAGAGGAAGGGAGAGGGGTAGAGAGATAGAAACATCAATGATGAGAGAGAATCATTGATTGGCTGCCTCCTGCATGCCCTCCAGTGGGGATCGAGCCAGCAACCCGAGCATATGCCATTGACCAGAATTGAACCTGGGACTCTTCAGTCCGCAGGCTAACACTCTATCCACTGAGCCAAACAGGCTAGGGCCAAATTATATATAATATATATGTATTAGATATGTATAGATAGATAGAGAGTTGAGCTCAAAAGCAAGACAGAATCTTCATGATGCTAAAAATAAAGAAGGAAAGCAAAGCCACAACAGTGAGGGGGTTGAAGTCCAGCAGTCCCGGGGAAGCTGATCTCTAGGACTGGAGTTTCACACTCCCATGGGGACAGCGGTCAAGGTGGAGGCCTGGGACAGCAGAGAGCTGAGAGTGAGTGCACTGCGCAAGGCTGAGAACTGAGAAGAGGCTGTCTCTTCCAGGCACAGAAGACAGAGAAAAAGATCCACGCACCTGCCTCGGGGTGCAACATGGGAGCAAGCCACCCAGCGGGCAGTGGAGGGGAACAGTCACGGCAGCAAATCAGAGTATGAACCTGGATTCAGACCAAACCTCAGGTGCAAAAACCTGCTCCGAGAAGCTCATGAATAAAGTGGTCAAACCTGCGTAGCCTGTAAGACTGTGGTAGAAGCCAACGCACCCCATGGGGCGCAGGTAACTCATGGGGCTCCTGCAGACAGGAAGCACAGACGCCAAAGAAACCTTCCATGGTGACCCTGCCGTGGGAGCATCCACCCCATGTACAGATAACCAGGCCATGCCGCTTCCCCACCACTATTATATAATTGGGAAACTGAGGGTCATTGAGTTGAGGTATATTGCCTAAGGTCAGTTACAATTGATTAATTTTCTGTACCTCAATCCTCTTAGCAATATATATATATGTATAAATATATATGTATTTAATTAAGGATTATATATAATTAAAAATTATATATATAATTTAAAATTTTTTAATATATTTTATTGATTTTTTTATAGAGAGGAAGGGAGAGGGATAGAGAGTTAGAAACATTGATGAGAGAGAAACATTGATCAGCTGCCTCCTGCACACCCCCCACCGGGGATGTGCCCGCAACCAAGGTACATGCCCTTGACCGGAATCGAACCTGGGACCTTTCAGTCTGCAAGCCGACGCTCCATCCACTGAGCCAAACTGGTTAGGGCTCTTAGCTGTATACTGACACTAATTTTAGCGTACCTTCCTCATAAGAGGTTATAGAGATGAAATGAGATGCTCCCATAAAGCACTCCTTAGACTAATGCCTGGCGCATAAGAACAGTGTTAAAGTAAGTTGTAAAGGGTCAGAGGCAAAGAAGGAATAGAGTCTCTAAAGCAAAAATAGGACATTAGGAAGAAAGAACTGGTACGTTAGGAAAGGTAATTCCAGAAATAAAACTGTAGATACTGAAAGGTCTAGTCAGTCTTGCAAAGACATCCACACATCCTAAGCAGAAGAGGGACTGCGTTTCAGCCAGTCCTGGGCTTCGGAAGAGCGCTGGAGCCGGGGAGACAGGCAGGAGACGCCAGGAGTCTCGGTAGCTGATTCTACCCTCGCCTGAGAAAAGAATCTGGGTGTGGCGGAGCTTACGACATAATGGTTTCAGGGCCTGGAGACTTTTCGTTCTAGAAGTCTTTTTGCTCGTGGTTTATATCAGAAGTAGGCAGTTGACCAGGTGGTGGGCACAGTGGCTAGAATGGCAGCCAGATTTCTGGACTCGGACCCAGCTCTGTGACGTGCTAGTTGTGTGACCTTAGACATGTTAGTTGACCCTTGGCACTCAGCTTCCCACCTGCAGAATTGCACCTGGGAAGGGAGAATGTCAAGGTTGAGTATAGGCTCACCCAGCTGGCCTAGCTCAGTGGTGGAGCGTCGACCTATGAACCAGGAGGTCACGGTTCGATTCCCGCTCAGGGCACATGCCCGGGGTTGTGGGCTCAATCCCCGGTGTGGGGCGTGCAGGAGGCAGCCAATCAATGATTCTCTCTCGTCATTGATGTTTCTATCTCTCTCTCCCTCTCCCTGCCTCTCTGGAATCAATAAAAATATATTTTTAGAAAGACTGAGTATAGGCTCTAGAATCAGACGGCCAGAGTTCAGGTCCAGGCCCCGGCACTTACTAACTAGGCGAGCCTTGAGCATGTTATTTAGCTTCTCTGCTTCAGTTTCCTCATCTATGAAATAGGGGTGTTTGTGAAGATAAAATTAGCTAATATACACAAACACACGTATACATAATACACACGTAAAATACGTGACGTGCTTTAATACAATCCTGGCACATAAGTGCTCAATAACTTGGGGAGGTCACTGTAAAGATTAACTGGGTTAACTGATTTAAGAACATAGTAGATGTTCAATAAACGTCAGTGATGACCGCCAGTTCCTGGATTGCTTCCTTTTCACTGCACACCCAGCATACAAGTGCTGAACGAACAATGATTGAACAACTGGTGGTGGGAACGGCAGGCAAGTAGGGGAGATGGGGTAGGCCAAGACATAGGAAGGAAAAGGCCCTGTTGTGCCCAAGATGCAGCTCTCCCTCCTCTACTGGATTTGAGAGAGGATGGGAATGCACCCATCCCCGCCCTCCCTTCCCCTCCCACACAAGGGCACCACATCACAGGACTGGAACAGCTCGTGGAGTTTATTTGGGCAGTGCGAACGGGACTGACATTCCACTTGTGTACACAGACACACACAGGTACACACAGCCTGAGCAGCGTCGCTCGAGGTTGACATCATCTGCTGTGGGTCCCCAGATCTCAGTCAGGTGTGGATCTCAGGAACCTGAGGAGGCCCAGGACACGCAGAAGAAACTGTGATGGGGAAGAGTCCAGGAGCCCTCCCCCTGCCCACCAGGCCGTGGGAACCCGTTTTCTTCTCCCTCCCCGAGTGCCAGAACCCCACTGCCATCCCTGCTCATCATCTCCCTCCTCCATAGAGGGCAGCTCCCAGCTTGCCTGAAGGGAATCAGCGGGTGCTCCAGGTCCCCTTGTGGCTCCCTCCTCCACACGCTGGTTCTGGCCCATCAGGATTATCCATGTTCTCGTAAGAATCTGCATCTGGTTAGGACCAGGGAGGAGTGAAACGCAGAGCTGGGAGGAGGCTGGGAGAGTCAGCCTCAGAGGACAGCAGGGGGCAGCAGTAGAAGCACCCACCTTCCTCATGATTGGGACCCGGCTGGGCCCGAACGGAGCGGAGCTGGGGGGCTGCATACAGGATCCCCCTCATATCCTCATAGGACTGGGACCCTGTGTGGGCAGGAGGTGGGGAGTTGGAGGTTTGGGAGCCATGCTAGGGGTTTGGGGAAGGAAAGTGCAGCCTAAGATATGGAGGGAGCCTGAGGGACAGGGAGAGGTGGAAGGCTTGACCCATGATGTACTAGGAAGGAGTGATTAGGGTCAGCATCAGGTTCGGGGTCCCTGTTAATTTTAGGGTTCAGTCAGGTATGCGTTAGATCATGGTCGTAGTCAGAGAAATAGTTAAGAACAGAATTGGAAAGAGTCCAAGTTAGAGTCATGAGGAGAGAGCTGGGTCAAAGCTAAGGTCTGCATTGGGGCTGAGGTGAGGGGGAGGTCAAAGTCCAGGCTGGAATTGGGTTGGGACCAGGGCTGATGTTCATGGTAAGGGATGGGGCAGATACTGGAGTCAAGATTAGGGGTGGGGGCGGTGCTGAGGTTGTAGGTAAGAGTCAAATCCAAGATCAGGATTGGGCTTGGGTTTGGGGTCAAAGCAAAGTCAAGGTTCTGCCTGGAATTAGAGCTGAGACCAGATCAACCCAGTGTGGGCAGGTCCTAAGCATTTCTCACCAAGGGATGTCGCCTCCCGGCTGGGGTCCCAGGCAGTCCCAGGGGGGCTCAGGAAGTCTGAAGAAGGGAGAGGGGAGTCACTATTGCTTCTGGCCTCCAAGTCACACACACCACCACCGCCGCCACCACTCACGCTCCCAGGAACCCGACCCTCCTCACACACACACCTTTTGTCCTGGCCACTGGCTGGGCCAGCTCTTCATCCTCGTTCTCATACAACTCAGATGCTGCAGAAAAAAAGAGAATTGCAGGGACCACCCCTGCCCTGCAGGAGCTCCGTGGGTCCCCCCAGATCTCTGAGGCTCCAGGGGGACCTCAAATTACCATTGGAGAAGGAGTCTTCTTCCTCAGGACCCACGGCATCTTCCTCCGGGTTCTCATAGCCGCTGCCATCTGGTGAAGAGAGAGGGGGTCCAGCGAGGGTCCACAGCCCCCGCTGAGGAGGTGGGGGGGGGGCGGGGGGGGGCAGTCTTACCCTGGGAGAGCTGGTCCTGCCCCAGGTTGGAGTCATTCTCGTAGAACTGGGAGCCCTCCTCACTGTCCGGCTCCTCGTAGGCCTCCCCTTCTTCTTCGCCTGCGCCTGGGATTTGGGGACAGGGGTGGGACCGCGTCACGGCGCCCTGTCTCCGGGCCCCAGTTCACTATTCCTGCCACAGACAGAGGCTCCGACACCCCCACAGGTGAGTAAGGACCCCTGCACCATCACCAGCTGCCCCCGTCGGGCTCCGGGCCCCTGCAGCTCCGGCCTCCTGCACCTCGTTGTACGGGTTCCCTCCGTAGGACTGGACGGCGGCGGCCAGGCCTGCAGCCCACCGGTGGGAGCGACCTGGCGAGAGGGGCGGGGACGTGGGGGTCAGGGCTGAGGTCTGCGCGCCGGGCGGCGGGAGAGGATGCTCGGGCGGCGGGAGGGCGCCGAGGCTGGGCACCGGATCTGAACCCAGGGGCGCGGGCTCCAGGTCCCGGTGCGGTTCTGTTCTTGGAACAGAACTTCGGGCCGAGTCCTGGGGGCGGGCCTTGGTCCAAGGCGGGGCTCACATCTG